ACACCTAAGGAAACAGTGCTCATTTCCCCTTAAGACCAGGACCTCAGGAAGCCAGCTTCAGGAGTTTAGGGGACTGAGCAGACAATACGTGGTCTTGTGCAAAAGCGAAGTCTCTGGACACCAAAGTGGGCTGTGTGGGTGTGGGCTGCCTTCCTTCCCACCAAGTGCAGAGAGTTGCTGCCACATTACCAATCCCAGTCCCAGGTGGGCATCATGAAAGGCACCAGAGAAATTGATGCACTTCAGTGTCAGCCTGCCCTTGGGGTACACAGAAAATATCCCCAGGGTAAATCTCTGCCAGGGCAGCTCTGCATTCTGTGCTAGCTGGTGCTAGACAGCAGTGTAGCTGGGAGGTATTCCAGCTGACTGGCTCCTGTCACAAACCAAACCAAACCATTGGTTCCTGAAGACAACACAAAAGTAAGAAGGGTGAATAACCTCCAGCCTTTGTTATCTCCAAGGGAAATATAGCCTAAGAGACAGAGAAAGTTCTGATGGGCACAGGTTGCACAAATCCATGTTCACCCACAGAATCAACCACCTTGGCTGACATGAAACTTTTCTATTAAGACTTTTTGTAGTTGTTGTTGTTTGGGGTGTGTGTGTGTGTGTCTCTGTGTGTGTAATTCTTCTTTCTCTATTCTTTTAATATTTAATTATGAATATTCTTCTTTCTCTTACAACAATTTTCTTTTACTTTCTACCTTTCTACTGCTTGCATTCTTATCTTTTTAAAACCATTTTATTTTCTCCTTCTTTCCTTTCCCACTTTTTCTTCCTTTTTAAAAATTTATAAACTTCATCACTTTTTTAATGTTTTAGTTCATTCTATATTATTTTTGCTCCTGTCATTTCTTATCTCATTGGTGCTATGGTTGTCATAGTTTTAAATTTGGCTTTTACCTTATTTTTGTATCTGGTTTGCTCTTGTTTGCTGTTAGTTTTGTTTTTTCCTCTTTCTGTGCTGTGCTGGGGATTAAGCATGACCCTTTGAGCACACTGTGTGGCTGCTCTGCCATTGAGCTATACTCTCAGCCCAGGTAAGAAAAATTACACCTTACTTAACCCATAACCCAACCCCACTGCAACCCTGGTGGCTATTTCAAATTGAAGAATGAGGGAGACAAAAGCCCCCGTCTAATGACCTGATCCCAAGTAGGTGTGCCTGGCAGGGGCCTGAAGACCTGCTACTCAACATTCACCCAATAACAACAGCAGAGAGAAATAACACAAAGTTTGTGGACACCACATCTATAAGGGACCTCAGCAAAGACCCTATCAGACCACACATTGCTGTTAAGACTAGAGAAGTAACCACAGGTATATTCCATATAATCTGCTGCCTACAACACACCTGCCTGAACCAGCAGATAGACCCCACTCTCATGAGAAGCAAGAAGCTTCCTCAGGCTCCGACACTGCATGTATAGTGTCAAAACATGCTAATCACAGCCATAGGGAATCCACAGTAAATCTACTCAGGAGTTAAAGTCCACTAGAAGTTAAACCCAACACTACACAAACCGGTGTCTTAGGACACATCACCAAGGGAAGCCTGCCTCATAAGAAGACCCTCATATTAAAGTGAAAGAAATATCCATTCCAACAGATGTGCAAAGCTCAACTTAGAAACACAAGAAATATGGGAAAAAACAAGGCAATAGATATCTCCTAAGGTTTATAATTCTGCAGTAACAGATTAGTATATGGAAATGGATTAAATGTGGAAGAATTTGAAAGAATGATTTTGAAAAAGATCAATGAAATCCAAAAAGAAACAAAAATGAATAAATTAAGAAAGATAATGCAGGATATTTAAGAGAAATTAAATGAAAAGATTCTGAAAAGGAACCAAACAGAAATCTTGGAAATGAAAGCACAATAAGTCAGATAAAAACTCAGCTGGAAATTTCATCAATAAACTAGATCCAGTAGAAAAAAAGAATACCAGGATTTGAAGACAAGGTCGATGAATTATCATATTCAGACAAAAAAGAAAGAAAAAAGAAAGAATTAACAGACAAGTTCTATGAGACACTTTAAAAAGATTATGAATAAGCACAATAGACAGGGAGAAGAGGTCCTGGATAAAGGCATAGAAACACTTTTCAGTGAAATAATAGAAACTCCCCAAATTTGGGAAAGATATGCATGTTCACATACAGGAGGTATTTAGAACCTGATAGACATGGCCAGAAAAGAACCCCTCCATAATATATAAGTACAGAACAAAGTAAATGTTAAAAACTGAAAGAGAGAAGCCCTAAGTCAGATATAAATTATATCAAATGATGTACTTTATGCCTTGAAAGAAAATAAGAAATTAACTACCATCCTAGATGGCAACACCCAGAAAACTTTCTCTTTGTATCAAAGGAAAAATAAAGGCCTTCCAAGATAAGTATAAGTGAAGCGAATTTATGTCTACTAAATAAACACTTCAGAAAATGTTGAAAGAAATTCTATACCCTCAAAGAGGAAGAAAAACAAGTCGAATTATAAGAGCATGGGAAAGAAGAAATTTCACTAGAAGAGTAGATAAGAAAATGAGTGTTAGGTATCAAACACTATTAATACATTTGACTATTAAACCTCTAAGATTAATAAGGGAGGAAGAAGTAAATATAGAATAATTAAAAAAAAACAGCAAAGTTATAGGAACAAGTTCATACCTTTCAATAATAACCCTGAAGGTAAGCGGTCTTATTTCTTCAATTAAAAGACACAAACTAGAATTAAAAATAAAATGACAGACTCAAGTGTGTTTTTTTGCCTGCAAGAAACACACCTCACCAGAAAAGACACAGTGTTATGTCTGAAAAGACAGAAAGGGTGGAAAATGATATTCCAAACAAATGGAATCCCAAAGCAAGGAGTTGTTATGCTCATATCTGACGAATCAGACATTAACCAAAAATCAGTCCTAAGAAACATAGAACGTCTCTACATATTAAGGGAACAGCTCATTAAGAAGATACCATAATTACAAACATCTGGACCAACCATCAGAGTACTCTGTTTTATAAAACAAACACTCCTGAACATAAAGTCAAGGAGAGGCCATTATACAATTATAGTGGGTGACTTTAACAGCTCACTCTCACCCAACAGGTAGACCATCCTGAACAGCAACAATCACAAACCAACAAAGGAACATTACACTATAGATCAAATGGAATTAACAACATCTACAGAATTCTCCATCCAACATCTGAAGAACATACAACTTTTTCATCAGTACATGGAACTTTCTTCAAAATTGTTGAAATCAATTTGATAGAAAGCAAATCTTTTTAAAAAATATTTTATTAATTGTCGATGAACTTTATTTATCTATCTATCTATTTATTTATTTGTTTATATATGATGCTGAGAATCAAACCCAGTGCATCACATGTGCTAGGCAGGCACTCTACCATGAGCCACAACCCCAGATGCTAAAGCAAATCTTAACAAACTCAAAATACTGAAATCATTTCATGCATCTTATCAGATCATAATAGAGTGAAACTAGAGTCAATAGCAAGAGAAACAACAGAAATGATGCTAACTCAGGAAGACAGAACAATATTTTTTATAGCTCAATTCACCACTGAATTTTACCAGACTATATTTTTATTCATTGTTTTATTTTATTTTTAAATTATACTATTATATTTTACCAGATCTTTTCCCCACCCATTTGGTACTGGGAATTGAATCTAGGGGCGCTTAGCCACCGAGCCACATCCCAGCCCTATTTATTTTTTATTTTTTGAGACAGGGTCTTTCTAGGTTGCCTAGGTTCTTGCAAAGTTGCTAAGGCTGACCTTGAACTTGCAATCCTCCTGCCTCAGCCTCCTGAGTCTCTGGGATTACAGGCATGTGCCACTATGCCTGGGAGGGTGTATATTGAAAGAACGAACAAGGCTCTTCACCAGAGCAAATGCCCGTTTATTGAGGAACAGCTCCAAATATTTATAGAGTCAGGGGTGGTTTGACAGTTGGCATAGGGTGCTTTTTGATTGGAGGGTAAGGATCAGGTGAGCCAGCAGGGCTAGTCTTATTGGTGGGTAAGAATCATGTGAGTCAGCAGGGCTAGTCTGATTGGTGGGTAAGGATCATGTGAGCCAGCAGGTCTCACCATTGGATGGCAGGATCATGTGAGCCTAGCAGGGCTCACCATTGGATGGCTCTTCTTGGGGGATGGGGAAGTTAGTCTTTGGAGCCTGGTCCACTCCCAATAGATATCATCAAAACATGACATATGCATGTATGGAAATTCACAGTGAAACCCAATGGTTCGTATAACTAATGTGCATTAGTAATTATATTTTAAAAAATAAAACAAGAAGGCTCACTTAAGATCTTCACTTTGGAATGTTTTTGAGATTAGATTAAGGTGGTGGTTGTATAACAATGTGAATGCTACTGCTTTAAAATGATTATTTTAATGTTATTTCATCTCAGTTTCTCGGTTTTTAAACGGGGTGGCGGGGGCGAGGAGGGAGGGAGGGGGAGGGACAATACTCTCATTTGGGATAGGATCATAGATTTTAGGCACATTTGGCCTGAGCGAGGATTTTCCTGAGAATTATGGATTGGGCTAGGATTGGGGTGGGGTGGGGTATGGTGGGGCTGGGTATAGGAAGCTGAGGTTGAGGTTAGCAGTGAGCCGGAGTGTGTGCGTATGTGTGCGCTTGCGCATGTGCGCCTGTGCATTGGGTGTAGCTGTCAAACACCTCTGTTCTCTTGCCTCCATCCCATATACCCTGGACTGGGCTTGCATGAGTTTCTCTGCCTGGACTTCTTCTCTTTCTTCCCCTACCTGGAGAATTTATCCTGCAAGACCTAGTTCACAAGGCATCTCCTCTAGGAAGCCTTCCCAAACCTCAAGTAGCAAATTAGTAATGAATAATGACAGAATCATGAGGACTTCCATTTTTAAGGGTCTGCTTTCCTGCCACAGTCCAGCTGCAGCAAACTAGCCGGGGGTGACGAACAACTTGTGTAGATTGATACAGCAGGAGTAGGAGCCGTTTATTGCAGGACAGGAGCAGTATTTATACATTCCACACAGCTTATCTAATTAGCATAAACTAGATACAGCAGTCAACCAATCAGGAATCTCCACACTTAATGGCTCACTGGCATTATTTCACAAACCACTCCCTCTGGCATTTTGCCAGGCGCCATCCAGACTTGTTTACAGACTCTAACATTTCTCTGGCAAAATGCCAGGTGCCATCCTAACTTGTTTACAGACTCTAACATTTCCCCCTTTTGTTTGATTTAAATAACGACCATAGTGGTTTTTACAGAAACACCATAAATAATCTGCTACAAGCAGAAGGGGAGGATACAGAATGTCACAATACCAAGCCAATTGATGGCTCCATGCAAGAAGCCCTTGGAAAAATTATACCAGCAATGACACCATTAGCAAAGATATCGAGTTAAAATTTGTTGTGGATTACAGTTTGTTGTCTCAGTCCAGGTAAAGCAGTGTCTCAATAGATTAACTCACGGTCCAGGTAAATCACAGTCCAGGTAAGCTCTGCAGGAAGCTAGCTTGAATCACAGTCCAGGTAAGTTCTGCAGACAGCTAGCTTAAATCACAGTCCAGGTAAGTTCTACAGGCATCTAGCTTGATCCGAAGTCTCGTCGGTTCTCAGCTGAAGTCTCCTCCGGTTCTCAGCAACAATGGAAATTCTTCCACATTCCTCTTCACTGGCACTGGGACGAAGGCTGGAACTCGGGATGGCTAAAGAAAATCCTGTAGTATTCCAGCAGGCACTAAGAAAACAACCTTCTGAACAATTTAGTACATCATCTCAAGGTTTTTCACATTTGAAATAAGCCTTAATAGTGCTCATTACTCATTAGCTTCCAGGTGTGGGAGAACCATTGTAGTTACTGGCCTTGGAAATGACCAAACATCAGGGACACTGGTAGCGTCTTTTGTTGGCTGTAGCTCCTGGGCAGCCCCAGATGGCCCTGGGGAGAGTCTTGGTCTCAAATTGCTTCCGGGCACAGGTTTGGATTTGGGCTCTCGCAGTGGCGTTCTTCTTCCCGGGTGGGGAGCGGGGAAGAGCCGGCTGCTGCAGCTTGGAAATTCCTTGCTGCGCCATGATTGGCTCCTATATGCCGCAGCCTCCATGCGGCTTCACGCACCCTCAGATAAAGAAAAGTATTTAGTAGTAGCCTTTTGTAATTTTTTTCTTGATAATCCTTCCTCCTCTGAACTTTTTTCTTCTTTCTGACTAGAGTTCTTGGGCTTTTATCAACACATGCCCTAACTATTCTTGGTTCCACTGGGGTGCCTCCTTCCCTTAGTAATTTACTTCTCACCCCTTCCATATTTTTATCACAAAGACAATACAACATTTCAAGACAAAACAAGACACAAACATACTGTATCAATATTCTCCATTTTCTCAAAATGGCCATTTTTCCTCTCGCCCTATCTGCCTAGGGACGAGCAGATTTGCTCCCGTCCTATCTATGGATGGGCAGCTTTTTCTTTCGTCACTTACACCTGAGTGTCCCAGGGCTCCCGGTACGGGCCACCATCTGCCGTAGTCCGGCTGCAGCACTTTCCTATTACTCTAAGAAATCCCTAAGCAGAGATTGGGTCTTGTTCACCCATATACCCAAAGCCAAAGCCATTACCACCTGATTCAGATCTTCTCCTGATCTGTGTGATATTTAAATTTATCCAGTGGGAAGTAATCAGCCTTGGGAAGGCTCTAGAACACCAATTAGTTAATGACATGACCATCTTCCCCTGCTGGAGTGCCCCCCTAACCCTTAGCCCGGCACAGCCAACTGCAACCAAGTCTCAGTTCTCCCAGGTCTTCTCCAGCCCACCCCCTCATGCCCACACGCATGGCTCCTCCATCCACTCTCACTTGGATGCTGTAGCAGACACTAACTCATTTCTCAGCTGCCAGCATTAAGTGTTTTCCAAAAATGTGAAGACTCTTTTTGAAACTCAAATCTTACCATTTTGTCCCCCAGATTGAAATCTTTCCGAGGCTCCCCACCGCCACAAGACAAAGTCTACACTTCTCACTGAGTTGAATTAGACTCTATGCGTTCTGGCTCCTGCCGGTGGCCCTAGCTCTCTCCACACACACGAGCCAAGATCTCTAATGCCCAATTCCACCAAGCCACACACCCAGGCCCTCACACACACTGGTTCTTCTGCATGGAATACAACCTCCCAATCTTCCCTATCCTTCTACACAAAATCCCTACGAACAGCCTATCCTAAGCCCATGAGGGCGAGTCAGGTGCTGTTTCTGGGTTCCTACAGACACCTGTGCTCTCCCCATCCTGTCTGGGCCCCTCTGCCTGTGTCTTCCCACCCCAGCACAGTCCATTCTGAGCTGTGGGTCTGCCTTCCCCTTAGGAGTGAGACCTGAGTGAGGCAGGGCCCAGGGCTTTCTGGTCACTTGGTACCACTCAGCTCAGAGCTGACATGAATCAGGGAACACTGGGTAAATGATTCTGTTAAATGGCTTGGGAGGTGGGTGGTGATACGTGGGAATGAGAATTTTCTGGGAGGATATTTAAATGTATCCAGTGGGAAGTAATCAGCCCTGGGAAGGCTCTGGGACACACCTGTCCCAGGGAGGCTTTTCAACCTGCTCGTGAAAACTGAGGGAGGTAAATACTTTAAAAACACAGGAATTATTTGTTTTTTCAAAACGAGAAATGAAGCCAGGCCAGGATTACATTTCAATCCAAACACAGACAAGCACAGGCAGATATCAGATGTTCACCCGTGCACAACATGTTCCACGTGGTTCCATATATACACAAGAACACACACAGATGCACACACATGTGCACACACACAGACATCCATACACTTATACATAGTCACCCACTTGTGCTTTCATACAGACCAATGTAGAAGCACAGTCATGCTCCAGATTGGACACAAAATACACACTGTAGACATCCCCCAAACACGATCTCCCAAAACATGGGTACTTAAGCTATGTACACAGAGGCAGAGACTGGTGAGCATTCAGGCACACCTGTCTAGAAACACACCCCATATCAGCTGCTCACACAAATGTGCACATGCAGACATTAACTGGATACCCACTTATTACACACAAACACATAGCCCACAAAGACTGGTGCATAATAAGTTAATCAACATGAACACGAACATGCTGAAACATACATGCACACACCCAGAAGGACATACATAAAGATAAACATGACAGAGGCATCTGGGAGACTCCACTGAACAACACAACACAACATACAGCTAGCCAGAGCACACAGAAAGCCTACCTCACAGAGCACCATCGTCTGGAAGGTCCATTTCCCATCCAGGGGGTTAAAGCTCAGCTGTATGGAGAAAAGGATGGGGAGGGAGGGTGGGAGGTGTCTATAAAATCTCTGTCTCACTTCCCCTTTTCCCAAAGGAAAATCTTTGGGAACTTTGGGCTAGAGAATGTAAAAGCCAGGATAGGGCTGAGAGAAATTCCCATTCATATCTTTTAAAACTTTTATTGTATCTTTTTTTAAAATAAATACCTTTATTTCTTTTTATGTGGTGGTGAGGATTGAACCCAGTGCTTCACATGGACCAGGCAAGGGCTCCACCATTGAGCCACAACCCCAGCCCTCCCATCCATATCTTTTATTCTACAGATTAATAAGGTCTAATAACAACCAGCAAATAACATAGCCAATATTTATTGAGCATTTCCTGCTTTGCACTAAATGTGCATTAACTCATATGTTCCTTAACCAAACAGTCTGAGAGGCAGGTGCTGTCCCTGACCCCACAAGGCTCCATGAAGTCACCTGTTCAAAGTCACTCAGCAAAGACAGAAGTTAGGATTCCAACCCAGGCCTTCACTTTGTTATTCATAATCCATCTAGGTAGGAATTCATGTGTACAGAAAGGGAAACTCACTGGGGCAAGGGCAAGGCAATTTCCTGGAGTTCACCACTAGCTCACTCACTTGCCACTCCCACGTGACTTCAGACATGAATCCTTTAGCCCGTGGATATCAGCAAGAGCAAACACACTTGACTGACCTCTCCCTAAATCCTGCTCCCATTTGGACACTCCCATCTCTTCCCTGGACAGCTCAGGAAAGCCTGTTTGAACATTCATAACCCTTCCCTCATCCCCCAGTCAACTTCATTGAGGAACAAATTCTCCAAACATCTCCCTCCCTTCTAAAATAAAACAGGGGGTGGGTAGGGGATAGGAGAGGTCCAGGCCTGGGGCCAGCCCAGGTGAAGGCCAGTAATCAGGATTAGAGGGACTGGATACTGCCACAGTCTGGCTGGGCACAAATCACGAGCCACTCAAGCAGGAACAAACTTTATTTCCAAACTCCACCAGCACACTCCCCGGGAACTCTCCCGAATGCCACCCACGCAGCTCCTCCAGCAACACACCACACACCAACCGGAACTCCCACCACCAGAACTTCACCAACCAACTGGAACTCTTCAGGAATTCCCGTGAGAGCTCAACGGGAACTCTGAGAGAACTCAAAAGTCATCATCTTAATGGCTCGCTGGCATCACCTCTCAACCACTACTTCTGGCAAAAATGCATGCGTCATCCTGACTCAGCTGCGGCCCTCAACAGGATACCTGACAAGCCCGTGCTAATTCTTTTCCTCACCTCTTCCCCCTCCAATATCAACAAACAACTTTTTTTTTTCTCTCTGCTTTGTTCCCTCCCCACAGGTTCCAGAGTCCAGTGGCCTAAAAGAGATTGAGCAAAATGTCAGTCCTGGGAGTGCCAACCTCGCCCACCTCCATTTGTCCTGTGGGAGGGCAAATCTGGAAGGTACAACCACCAAGGCCTGCCCAGCACTCTGCTGGCACCCCACTCAAGGTTTAGCTGAGGCCAATCCCAAACCCAGATAGGGCCAGTCTGAGCACCTACCTAACACAATGTCAGAATCTCCTGGGCCGAACCTCAGAGCCTCGATGGTTGGTCACCTACCCTTCCTCCCTCCTGAAGCCAACTCCATGACCACCTGGGTCTACTCTTGGAACCCTCTTGGTACCAGAAGAGGTTCTGATCTTCTTTTGTTGTCCAGTTAAATGACAACTTCTTTTCCACCCTGGTGTTTATCGGGGGGCAATCTCAATGCCAACCCGATGCCTCCCCATTTAGCACCTACCAGATACTGGTATCTGAACCTGCAAGTATAATCCATGTGCCCACTGCTGATGCCAGTCTCAGCACCCAGCTTCTGCCACACCTGGTCCTCATCTGGCCCCCAGGGTGGGCTGGGTCAGGCAAGGAAGAGAGAAGTGGGAAGAGTTCAAAGCCCAGTTCTATCACTTATCACCCAGGTGCCCTCAGTGAGGTGGGTGATGAGGGACTCATTGTCAGAGAGATTTAAAGATCATGCAAACACAGACTCCATCTTCTAGGAGAACAACAAGATCACCAAGGGTGACTGTCCTTATTGTTAAAGAAAGTGTCAATGAGGGAAGGACAGTAGGGCCACTCGTCCCTTCTCTGCCCCCACCCCTGGCATCACAGGGCCCACACTGGACCTGACCCAAATGTCCAGTTCCTTCTGGCTGCTAATGATAGTCCCTGACAAACCAGGAATCACTCCTAAAAGAGACTGAACGCATCGTCAAATAGGATCTTCTACAGCCCAAATGTTCCCCATCCACTAAACAAAATCCAAAAAGGGGAAATGGAGAAGCAGAGCAGGACAGGGGGGAGTTTAGGCCCTTGGCCTCAGGTTTCTCATGTGATCGCTCCATGTTCATCCTGCATCTGTCCTCGGTGCACCTTATGTGAAATGGGAGGCATGCATATTAGTAATAATAACACCATAGAAATGATCCAGTAAACCCTGTGGGCTTCCCTAGGACCAAGGTAGGAACCCAGGGGGGCTGTCTGTACATGGGGACCCAGGAAAATGTCAGCATGTGCCACCATGTTCTTGTTGTCATGACTTTCTCAAGGTCTGAGCAGAGTCTCTGTCCACTGTGACTGTGAGTTACTCCTCTCTGGTTCTGTGCAAAGTCCCGCTGAAATGTGACTCTGGTCTTCTACCCGGTTCCCAGCCACACATGGGCCCTGGAGGAGCTAATTCTGTTTTGCCCATCGTGGCCCCACTTGAGGTTCCCATGAAGAGACTGGGTGTCAAGGGCCAGCACACAGGAAAGTTAGGTCAGATTCACGGCACTGTCTTTCCTTATCCCATCCCTTCTCCCTTCCCTGCATTCCCCTTCAGCTGTTCCACTGAGCTTTCTTCTACTTTTTTATCCCCTTACCCCACTATACTGGATTAGCTTCAGCAGAGAAAACATCCTACCTTTGAATTTTGGAGACTGGCTTATTTCACTTAGCATGATAGTCTCCAGTTCCATCCAGCAAGTGCCATAAAGTCATTCTTCCTTATGGCTGAATAATACTCCATTGTGTATATGTACCACATTTTCTTTGTCCATTCATCTATTGAAGGGCACCTAGGTTGGTTCCATAGCTTGGCCATTGTGAATTTTGCTTCTATCAACATTAATGTGGCTGAGTCATGGTAGTATGGTGATATTAAATCTTTTAGATATATACTAAGGAGTGGGATAACGGGGTCATATGGTGGTTCAATTCCTAGTTATTATGTATTATATATGAATATACCACAGTGAATCTCACCATCATGTACATTCATAAGACACTAATTTAAAAATCTATAAGTAAATACAGAAAGATTCGTAGAGTAAAGGGAAGGGAACAGGTGGAGAGGGGAATGGAGGGAAAGAGGAAGGATTGGGGACTGAACTAGAGCAGATTATATTCCATGTTTGTATAACTGTGTAAAATGAATCCTAATGTTATGGATAAGTAGAAAGAACCAATGACACACACACACACACACACACACACACAGCCATCAGGTCAACAGCTGGGCTCAAGTGCTCACTCCAGAATCCTGTGGGAATTCCCTCTCAGGAACTCCACTCCAAGCTCTGGGGCCTTCTCACTCCAAGCCATGCACATCTAGAACCCTTAAATCTATGTCCCTCCTCACCAAAATACCCCCAAATCCACAGCCACACATCTTGTCTTATTCCAGTGAAATCCAGACCTTGGGATCCTTTCCTTCTGAGACCTTGTAATTTGCACCTATAGGACCCTTGTAACTCTGCAACCCCACACCCTAAGCTCAGAAGCTCTGGTATGCAAATATCCCCACACCTCTGCAATCCTTAGTCCTGGGGTGCTTCCTCCTCAGGTGTCACAAATCCAGTCCAGAAGTCTACCCTGCTAATCTGCCCCCTCCTTCTTGCTTTCTGGCTGTGTTCCAAACTAGGTATGTACCTGGTGGAGGGTGCAGTTTGAAGAAGACAAGATACAATTATGTAACTGGGACCAAAGGCCAGACTTTGATCTCAGCAGTATAAAGGTAGACCATCCCAGCCTTCACTACCTGTTTGTCCTACTCTCTGCCACCATGCTGGCCTCAGGGCTGCTGCTGGTGGCTTTGCTGGCCTGCCTGAGTGTAATGGTGTTGATGTCTGTCTGGAGACAGAGGAAGCTCGGGGGGAAGCTGCCTCCCGGGCCCACTCCACTGCCCTTCATCGGGAACTACCTGCAGCTGGACACGGAGCAGATGTACAACTGCCTCATGAAGGTGCCACCTTCCAGGGAGATGGGTGAAATGGGGTGGGCACAGGGACTTCCCAGTTTCATCAGGGCTTTGTGGCAGAGGATTGAACCTGAGGAGCTACAGTCCTAGGACAGGAGAATTCTGAGTGTTGGGAAGCCAGGACCTAGCCAGGAAAGACAGACCTTGACATCATCTGATGTCAGACACTGGAGAAAAGACATCCCTGACATGGAGGGAACTGAACCAATTCAGGGAACAAGCCCTCTAACCACTCCCATCGTCCCCCATCAGCTGAGCAAGCGCTATGGCCCCGTGTTCACGGTCCACCTGGGGACTCGCCGGGTCGTGGTGCTGTGTGGCTACGATGCAGTGAAGGAGGCCCTGGTGGATCAGGCTGAGGAGTTCAGCGGGCGAGGGGAGAGTGCCATCTTTGACTGGCTCTTCAAAGGCTACGGTAAGTGGGACAGCACCTGGTGGCCTCAGTTTTCCCAGCCTGCCCCCAAGTCAGCTGCCCTTGAGGTTGTGCAGAGCCCTGGACTGGTCTTCTCTGCGTCCCTGTTCACTGTTGCCTCTCCCTGTGCTGGACTCTGGCCTGTTTTCAACCTCCCATGTCCCAGTCTGTCCCTGCTTCTCTCTACCTGTCGCCCTGTTCTCTTCTTTCCCTGGATGGATCCA